AATATAATTGACTTACATGTCCTCGATGATTAAGTCACTCGCAAATTGGCAAGGATGCAGCGTTGTTAATCACCATAGGACATGAAGCGTGTCGCGGAGCCATGTAAAAATCATAAGCACTCACAATTATATATAAATTTGAATAATATCGACATGTTCAACTGTCAGTATACATTGACATGTCGCTCGGATTCCGATTATATCTTGTAAAATTATATCTTGTAGAATTATACCTTGTAAATTCATAAATAAAAAGAAAAGCTAAGAGAAAGGATACTCGTAGAACAATTATATGTAATTTTATTCATTTAACTCGTCCGCTATTACTATTAATTTAAGAAAGATATTATTTGTAACAAATACAGAAAAGAGCAAATTGAACGGAAAACAATATCGTGTTTAATAATATTACTTTACTGCTTCAATACAAATAAGTATGATTTCTCTTAGTGGGTATAAAAACAGAAATATCGTATACCACTAATGATAATAACGAACAAGTTAAATCGAGTTACATATAATTGTTCTATGAGTATCCTCTCTCTTAGATCTTCTTTTTATTTATTGTAGTCAGAATTCACTAAGCATAAATTATACAAATATTTTTGGAAATATAAAATATATAATAACTTCCTCCGATTCAGAATGCACCCTACATTATGGAAGTGATCGATGGTTCAACGCGAGGAGTACTAATTGGTCAAAAACGCTATGAAGGTTATTGCATCGATCTGATTAATGCAATTGCAGAATATCTAGATTTTAAAGGCGTAATATTCCAACTCGTAACTGATGGATATGGCAGTTATAATTCAGAAACGAGGACTTGGAATGGTCTAATCAGGAACATTCTGGATTATGTAAGTAAAACATTTTGCATTTTACAGAGGGAAAAAATGATTTGTTAAAATATCTAAAAATTTTGCTAGATATAAAATCTAAAAATAATTTCGTTAAATTGTCAAAATAATTATGTAGAAAACTTAAGTTGATTCCTGGAACATTAAAACGTCTCACAGCATTGCTAATCATGTTTGAGTACTACATATCTAATTACTTTGACGGTCCCGTTAAAATTGTTTTCAGATTTGCATCTAACTAAATTATTTAATATTTCAATAAAATTGTACTTTCTGTGCAGGACTTTTTATTATTTTTATAGATTAACATCTTTATAATATATGATGCTTGATGGTAGCATCAAATTATTAAAATTGCTTGTCAATTTAATTCGCGATTACTAGAGTAGTTTTAATTGCGTTTATTTAGTCCGGAAAAACAATTCGGCGCGCAGTTTGAAAAAGACTACAATATGGTATATATGCAAGTACATATATAGTATATATTAGTAATTCAAGATTGAATTATTTAAAGCAACGAAGATCCAGCTCCGACCGTAATAGGCAGTTACATTCTAGTATTAATTGAGTTTCTCAAATGTACGGTCAAAAAATATAAATATATTGTTTATTTTCTTTTATGAAAGGACAGAATAGAAACATGTAAATTAATTGAGTTTATTTTCGTATTACAATTAAATTAGTAATAGTATTTTTTTAAAGCAATAATCCACCTTTTATTTAAAATCCACGTTAATTGTTCATCACCTTCATTTTACAAGATTTCCCTACTTATTGTGATAACGAAAAATAGTTCGAGTTTGCACTACATTTCAGTAAGTAATCTGTTATTTATGATTTATTTCTCAAAAATTTCAGAAAGCCGATTTTGCTGTATCCGACTTAACGATAACATCCTACCGCGAGACCGTTGTGGATTTCAGTTTACCTTTCATGACCTCGGGTAAATACTGATATTAATACATTATTAACCATTAAAAAGGATAATATACAAAAAATATTATAATATTGCTATAATTGGTTTTATTCATTATTCATAAATTCTATAGAACTCAAAAATAAATTAAACATGTTAAGATATTGTAAAAATAAATAAATAATTAATTTTAAACTATATTAATAACAGTATTCCAACTTTGTTTTAAATTAGGTTTCAGCATTATGTTTAGCAAGCCGGAAAAGCAAACGTCATCTTTTTTTCCAGTTTTAATGCCTTTCTATATAGAAGTATGGCTTTCTATGGCTATTGTTTGTATCGTCGTATCGATAATGTTATTTCTTCAGGCAAAGTAAGATTTTTAGAGACAAAATACTTCATAATTTTGAATGTAATAAAAATGTAATCAAAATTATCCTTCTCAAATTAATATCTCCTAAAATGACCTAAAATTAGTAGAGTGAACATAATCGTTAAAAAAATGTGTCTTGTATTTCGTAAATTTAAATTCTTTCTCGAGAATGACACCTGGTAAGAGGAACAATCCGCATCATCTATGCAATGCCGATCCTGAAGAAAATAATTTTAACTTCAAAAATTCTTTCTACTTGACCATTGGTTCTTTTATGCAACGAGGTTCAAACATACGGCCCAAGTAAGCTTTAATATGATATCATTATAATTAATAAACATACATTTTTAATTTTGAAAAAATTATTTTTTTAATCAAGAGGTAAATGTTTTAAACTATTATAGTATTTACACATAAATAAAATCACTTTCATTGATAGAGCATCATCTCTGCGCATGCTTGCAAGTATATGGTGGTTCTTTACTTTGATCATGTACAGCTCATATACAGCGAATCAAGCTGCCTTTCTCAATATGGACAAAATATCTATTAAAGGAATTGAGGATCTGCCCAAACAGACAAAAATTAAATATGGTGCACTAGAGAATAGCTCAACAGCAGCATTCTTCGAAGTACATTAGTAGCTTATTTATGATCATATTTTAGCTCAATATGAAAATAACTTACAGATATGATTCGATATTATTAAATTGTAGAATTCAAAGTACTTAACGTACAAACAAATATGGATTGCAATGGCGAATTCTAGGCCAAGCGTATTCACATCAAGTTATGAAGAAGGTGCGCAATTCCAAAATCGAACATGCATCACCAACTTGAAAAATACGTGAAAAATGCATAAGAAACCTTCTTTTTTAAAAAGGGTTACATTATTCGAAAAAACAAATTTTTTCTTTTGACTTGTGATTTTCAAATACCTATATTAATTTTCTGTTACAATACATTCCAGGCATCAGCCGAGTTATTCGCGGCGAAAGACGATATGCTTTTCTCATGGAAAGTACCACTATTGAATATATTATGGAGCGCCGTTGCAACCTAATTAAAATAGGCAGCGTGTTCGATAACAGAGGCTATGGCATTGCTATGCCACGCAGTAATATTATAACTTCACTACAATACCAATATTATATTTCTCCATTATATTTCTTTGTCTTTATATAAACCATTTCTCTTGCACCTCTTCTGCAGATTCTGTATACAGAAGGCATATTAACTTTGCGATCCAATGGTTAGAAAAGAAAGGTAAACTGAAGGCACTAAAAAAAAAGTGGTGGCAAGAAACAGGAGGAGGTTTGTGCAAGAAAGATGAAATGGAAAATAATGAAAGCACAAACCAATTAGGGATGGCAAGCCTCAGAGGTGTGTTCTTCGTTCTAATATGTGGTTGTAGCGCTTCGTTCTTTATCGCAATTTGCGAATTTCTATGGAATATACATAAAGTCGCTATGACAGAGAAGGTAAATCTTTATTTTATCATGTTCATTATTAATCTTGTGATAAATACTTTAAATAAAGTAAATTAATTTTCTTCCTTTTAACGAAGAAAAGCTCTCAAAAATTTAACAGTAGAATATGAAATTTCTTTCTTTTTATGGTAAATTAAATTGTGAAACAAAATGCACAATTCGCAAATTTTAAGTGTATAAAACCATAAACAAGGGCTAATGAGAGTATAGTCGCTGTAAGTTTTACGATGAATAAGTTTATTAATTATTAAATTCCATACGTTTCGGCATCCATTCGAGCCATCATTAGTGCATCTTACAAGTAAACCTTAAGAAATATCAGACGCCGATTTTTCTCAAAATTTTTACAGTTGTTTCTTATGATAAAATAACAAGAAATCTGTCATTAATTTTAGCCCAAATGCGTGTGTCTGTTAAAAAATAATTTTTTGTTATTCTTTACAATTACTCAATTTTTATATGTTTAAAGCAATATTTCTAACAAATGAATCTGTACCCGATTTTTTGAAGCTCGATACGCATATAGAACACTAAAATAATAACAATAATTATTAATAGTAAAGAAACGATTTCTCTT